CCGGAGGAAATCTGGACGCTCGATTGGCCGTGGCCATCTCCTGTCCTGTGCAAACTGACTGACTGACTGTCCTGAACTTGAAGGTCAAACGCGATTGTACGTAACGTGATTTTTTGGATGAGTTCCCAGTTTGTTGTATTCAAATAGGTCAGGTTTTACTATCGTTTGAGACTACAGATCCTTCGCGATATGGCTCCTGTGTTAGGTTATTGGCTTCTCCGTGGGGTGAGTTTCAGAGAAATATTTTTTCTTGACTGCTAACAGTTATTATATGAACATCATTACTGTGTTGGATGCATCCAACACACACATATACCCAATTGGGTATATATAATGTATAGTAATATAATAATAATATTATATTATTAATAATATATGTATATATGTATAACAACATAATAATATAATAATCGTTATATAACTATAATAATATATCATTATAATATATATATATATGATACATTATTTTTATTATTTACTGGATCCATATATATGTATATGTGTATATATCCATATATAGATATGAATATATATATCCATATATGGATGTACTTGTTCGAAATGGAGCATCAATTTTTGGACTGAATTTTCGTTCTTTGATGAAATACATGGATTCAAATAGTTATTCTGAACAATTTCGTTTATTCTGACAATTACGACACTGCATCAGGATCCTGATGTTGTGAATCCTCGAGGTTTCACATCATTTTTAGGGGTTATCCCCAAGGGGACAATCAAAGGATGGTCGATTGTCCCCTTGTGCTGCTTGGATGGAAATATATTTATGTATATAGATCTATGTATGTGTTTGTAGAAATATCGAGATATTTCTACAAATGTATATATGTATACATTTGTATGCATGCATACGAATGTATGCATATATATACATAGTACAAGAGGGCATTTGAATGTCCTTTGAGTGTCCCTTTAGGGACATTCACTCAAAACTGCTATGAATTCTCCTGATATGAGGTTTTTATCATCAGAATACATGCAATTATTCAGAATAACCAATAATAGTTATTGTATTATTGAATTGAATTTTAATCCATGTGGTGGCCCGGTGGTAACGTCACCAAATTATCACCTCGGGGGACGTGAGTTCGAGTGGTGGTGGGACGTCCCACCACCACCGACGTTCCCCATGGAAGCTCTTTGATTAGCTGCCTAAGAGAAGGAATTTCCCCTTCCTGAAAATCGCATCATTGTGTATTCAATAAAAGGAGGTAGAATTAAAAAGAAAAAAATGACAAACTTTCAGTCCGAAAATGGATGTTTTATTTCGCACAAGGACAAATATTTCTGGACTTAAATTTCTTTATTTGATGGAATACACAGATTTCTTGGTTGAAAGCTTGTATACAACTCGCAAAACTTGAATGCAATACAATGCAGTTCTGAACAATTTCATATATTCTGATGATAATAGTACTGTATCGGGACGATTCATAGCATTTTTAAGCAAGTGTCCCGAAGGGGACACTCTAAGGACGGCCGAGTGTCCCCTTGCACTGCTTGGGATATCAAAGAACGATAGATTTATGCTTTCATCCACGTGTCTATAAACACGTTCAGTTCAGTTCAATTCAATTTAGTTTGTTCAGAACGAAAGAAGTCGAGACCGCACTTGCGTTCAGATCGTTGTGTTGTTAGCTGGTTTCCTTGGCTTCCAACACTGCTCTTCAAACGTTCATCCTGTTATTTTTTCTGAAGAGCAGAATTATTAGGTACAGCATCACATTCATTAAACATGTATAAATAAAATGCATAAATACAGAAACGAACCCAAATTGTTCCTCTATCGCTTCTTAAGTGGCCAGCTACGGAAATACCACGTCCCAGCACGTAGATCTGTATAGATCCAGGGCCTTTTTGAAGGCCACCACTGTTGAGCAGCTTATGACATTCTCCGGCAATCTATTCCACAAAGACAACACACGGTTTGTGAAGAACCTGGCCCTCAATTCCAACATGAAGCGCTCTCTTAGCAGCTTAAGGCTATGACCCCTAGTGCCAAAATCCGGTGCAGGAACGAAGAGGCTGCTTAGTTCTATACCGGAAAACCCCTTGACTATTTTGAAGGCTTCTATTAAGTCGGCCCTGGTCCTTCGGCGTGACAGAAAGAAAAGATTCAGGTCATGCAGACGCTGCTTGTAGTCTTTCACATCTGTCTAGTAACCATTCTGGTCGCCAGTCGTTGTACCGTTTCTAAGCACTCCATATCTTTGTGATAGTATGGGGTTCAAGCTTGCACGCAGTATTCCAGCAGTGGACGCACTATTGTCTTGTACAATGGAACGAACACTTCCGGCTTTCGCAAGTGACTGGTCCGCAGTCTGAAGAGTACACCTCTTGCTTTATTTGCAGCCACCTGACATTGTCTAGTAGGCCTGCAGTCTTTTGTGATAATTATTCCTAGGTCCTTGACCTCCGTTATACCTCGTAGCACTGCGCTCCCAGTTGATTCTACACTAGTAGTCAGTAGCTGACACTTGGCAAGATTAAGGGGTAAGTCGTATCGAGCCGACCAGCTACGAACTGCATCTAGGTCCTGTGTTAAGTTCCCACCCGCTATCTTCACATTGCCCACACTGATGAAGCAGGGGTTGTGCAATTCCAGCGTGAGATCGTTGATGAGAAGAAGAAAAAGAAGTGGCCCAAAAACAGAGTCCTGGAGCGTCCCGCTTGTAACCATCTCCGATCGGGATGTGTAGTTGTCAACCCGTACAACGAAGCTACGGTTGTTGAGAAATTGCTTCAACCACTGGCTCACTGACCCGACTATTCCAAAAGTTGTTAGTTCCTGGTCACGCAAGACTCACCGAGTCAAAAGCCTCGCTGAAGTCTAAGTAACATGCCTCCGCTACCCAACCCTGATCTAAACGACATGTATGTTCGTCCAGAAACGTAATAAGCTTAATTAAGCACGACATACTTCTGGTAAACCCATGGTGTGCAGGAGATAGAGGTCTGTGAGTCACCAGGTGCGTACATATTTGTTTTTTGACCATTCTTTCAAGGCACTTGCACAGCACTGATGTTAAACTGACCATTCTGTAGTTTTGCGCCTTTTGTTTGGACCCCGATTTGTATGTTGCTACAACGGTTGCCTTCCGTTAGTCCTCTGGCACTACCCCGGAGTTCAGTGATGTCTTACACAATTCAGTGACAGGTCCTAGTATGACTTCAACTAGTGGCTAGACAATAGCTGGGTGGATCTCACCCAGAACCTCCACCTTATGTTTACAAAGTCTTCTGAGCTCGATCCGTACGTCGTCCTCCTTCAAAGTCAGCATACGAAGCTTGTTTTTATTGGTATCCACCAGAGGGTTCCAGACACAGTCACCCTGAGACGAACGACGGACACTTTTGAAATAGTCCGTCAGCGTCTCAGTCCTGTCCTTATCTGTGCTGACTATGTTACCGTTCGCCATCTCCAAGGTTTCAACACTTTTACTTGTGGTTGCCTTAGATTGAACATGCGCAAAAAAANAAAAAAACCTTCTTCGGGTTCTTTTTAATGTTATTAGCTAGTTTCTTTTCATACTCGAACTTAGCTCCCCGTTGCATTGCATGTGCCTTATTTCTAGCTAACTTGTAGTTGACCCAAGAACTATGCGTTCTGTGAAGCTTGCAGAAGGCTCAGCGCCTTCTAAGAGACGTAAGCGCTCTTTCTATTCTAGGCAACCACCGGAGAGGTCTGCTTCTGGATCTTTGCGGAACCAAGAGAGCGAACCCTTGAGGCAACCCTAGTAATTCATCTCGTATTGTCACCCATCGCTATTCGAGTGATGGCTCAAGTGAATCAGGAAACCAATCTGTGCTCTCAGCAGCTGCCATAAGTTGCTCCTCGTTGATCCTGGCGTAGTTTCTTACTAGCCTAACATTCGGCCTATTGTGTCTCGCAAAACAACTTCAGTCGCAGTACCCTAAGGTCACTCTCCCTAACGGTTCTTCCGTAACCATAGAGGTGAGGTCTGTTCTGTACCTAGTTAAAACTAAGTCTAACGTTGACGGACGATGGCAACCTCTGAATCGTGTGGGTGGTTTGATGTGCTGTTTCATCCCATGTTGCTGCAACCAGTTCAAGAGTTCATCACTAACGGTAAATTGATATATGTATATTTATGTATAAATTTATACATTTACTTACTTAATTAAATATTATCTAATATATATAATAACTCATTTTTGTAGCTCTAGGTCCATATACACAGCTATATACATAAGTACCCAAAATTTGGGATCAACATTAAGTGCAAATAACGCCGGCCTATGCAAAACGAGCGTCATCATTTAGTTACTGAAAACACCGTTTCGCCACTCGAAAGTCACTTAATAAACACGCGAGAGTACCTATTGAAACAACTTATTGAATCTAAGAGATTTTTGGAAACATTTTGATGTCATTTTTAATTTTTGTCGGAAATGTTTCCCTACTAGACCATTTCAGTTCATATAGAACAGTAGTTAAAAGAGCTGATCTGATATTCTGCGCAATGGTAGTAATTACTCCGTAGCTTACGATCATAAGCTACCAAAATACAGTAATCACTCGACCATTGACAAACAAATATCCATTATGGTTCTATATGAACTGTTTCCAAGCCGATACTTTACTCTCAGGATAATTAGGAGTATCACTATTTGACTAGTTAAGGAACTAACATGAAATTTCACATTTTGGAATGAACCACAGCAGGGATCGCTTCATGTAAGTCTTCCACTAAATCCTAGACGCATGCCTCCCTTGCAGCTGACAGGTATCAGTTTGTTTTTCATCCAACAGGAAATTACTCGCTGTGTTGTTGAATCCGCTATCGTTCATCTCTTTCGTCAAATCCACAAGGAGACGTTCGTACTTATGTCACTACATGTTTCAGATTGAAATCACACCTCCGGACAATCAATACACTGGTGTGGCTCTGTAAGAATCCTGATTATCTGAAAGTGTCTCGTTTCACCTGTGCGTTTGCTAAGTACAACTGGCCCTTCAGCGGAAACTTCTGGTGCAGGTCTGGGCTCGTATTATATTTTTGATGAATATTGTCACTATGGATTCATTGGTAGCACCTAATGTTGATAGATAAGCTTGTGGAGGCCGGCTTATGGCAAGTGGCTGCTCACTGAGTTCTCTGTATCCAGCTTCGCCTACTCTACCGCCTCATTCCCAATGAAAAGATGTAGGAAATATTGAGAAAGGTCTAATTTGATCTCAGTAGCGGTTTAATAAACCGATGGCTTGCACCCCAGATAATCCAGACAGGAGCACATTTGTTTTGGTGTGTTTCATAGAGCTTTAGGATTCTGTCCTAATCCCAAGATCCCTATTGCAATTACTATGCTCTGGCTTACCTTTTCCACCTCAAACAGTGAGTCTGTGATGCTACAACCGAATCAACTACTAGTACCTTTGAAATATTATTGAGAGTCCAATAATATATGGATTCATAAAAGCAATCTTGATATATCTTATACTCATCACAGGTTGCCAAATAAGACGATTACTGCGGAGAAGAAACCGGTTTACATATCGCTACCTTTCAAGGGCGATACAACTGCCGATATGGTGACACATAAGCTCGGTACAGTTGTAGCAAAACATTCCGCGCGGCAAAACTGTATATTATGTTCATCTCCAGGTCACTTCTGTGCATTCAAATCAAAGATAAACTGTCTGTTTCTGCCGTCTCTTTCTGTGTATACCTTTTTACCTGTTCCTGTGGACAAGGTACATTGGTCGCACGAGCAGACCTTTATCTAAACGAGTCCGGGAGCATCACCCGGCCTGGTGGAACAATGGAGTAATTAGGACCATTGACAGCTCATTCGTTTCACACCTGGTGGAATCAAACCACGTAATTAATGTGGACGGGGCGTTTAGACCCTTCTACTTGGTTCGGACCCACCGATCTAAGAGGATTAGGAGTCGCATTTTGACCACAGCGGAAGCGCTTAGAATCCACCTACATAATTCTCCCCTATGCTCCCCAAAACAATTCGTAAGAACACTCGGTCTTCCATGGCCAACATCACGCACGACACAGCCATCCCCCACCCACCCCTAATGACCCAAACCAGTGCGCATGGGTGAGGACCAAAGTGTGAGTGACATCCGGTCATGGAACTGGAAGGTTGATTTCCAACTTGTCTTGATCTCTCCCCCCTGCCAAACAGTTTGATATAAATTGTGATATATTAGCCTGTAGAAGAATCANCGCAAACGAGCTTGTTCGCTACTTTGTGTTTTCTCAAAAAGATTTATCAATAATGATTAATGTAAGTGCATGAAAACGTTTTAATAATTACAATTAAGTGTATGGTCCTCTATATTCTCCCTATTTGCTTTACTTATATGAAATACTTTTCTTGATTTTTCCCCACCTCATAACTCATTCATATGTTCAAATAGTTGTTTGGCAGATTTGAAGTTTGTATATCGATTGTGTATAAATTTAGTCTTATAAGTACTGTCAGTCTACAATAAAGTTAGATGTGCACAATGAGTAATAACCGAAAAGCGCCGCAGCGATTTTCTTTTTGATTATCTGTTATTACATTTTACGCTTATGGGTATGAAAAGCTGTGAAGATAATCAGCTTCTTTGCCTAAGTTTCTCAGATGTTCATCTGTCAAATAACCTAAAGAAGAAAATCTTATCTCACTGATAAGAAAAAATAAAGACCATACAGCAAATATACCTTAAACGTAGCTCTTTCCAGAATCTGTCTCTCCGGTGTTTGGTTCAAATGCGAGAGTCCTTGGAACTGCATACACGGTAATCTATTATACTGTTTCTGCTACATAATGATTTGGGCAAACAAACGGGTATCAATATGTATGATGAAAGTGTTATGTATATACATAAGATATTTCAAGGAAAAACCAGAGGACAAAATACACACCTTTCAGTCTGTGAATTCGCAAGAATAATGGGAGAACACTGTTAATGTTTTTTGTCAATAACACGGAGTTTCCAGTTGAGATTAGCACTACCCCGTATGGGTCAACCGAAGTAGTGGAGCAGAGATTTGGAGTTGTTGGACTGACCCAACGCCACTAATGTATGAGCACCAACGTAAACCCTAATCTAGTATGACCAATTTGGATGATGAGATAGTTAAGCAGACAACAGATCACTCATCCACTTACCCTATGTAACAGACAGACGCATGCATGCATTCAGACAGACAAAATCGTGCATCCGTTTACTTGAAATCGTTCCCTCAGACTTATGTGATGAGAAAACTTATGTTGGTAAAGGTTACTCGTGGTAAAGTAAACTTCATCAAATTATAATCTTTATCGGAAAGACTGTATTAATAAATTCCCATCGATCTTCTGGTACATCACTAATTGCATTGGGTTCTGATACACCGATTCAATAAATTGTTTATGCAATGAATACCCGCATTTGTATAAAAAATCTGACCGTTAATCTTATTTGGTAGCAAATAGAGTGATACAAAATAAAAGCTCATTCAACTGCGGCGAAATTACACTGCACACACGGTCAAGACTGGATAATACGTGAAAATTCGTTATTTTTAACAGAAAACAACAAATAATGGAAACCCTTTACAGAATGGTTAAAAATGGCGTTTACATAAAAATTCGCTTTCTGGTAAACTGACCGCTGACCGACTGACTGATATGTTAGACTTTTAAGATTTCACTTAGTTCCTAGGTGACAGTGATTGAAATCCAGTACTGAATAAACCCAAAACAAAGGTTCTATCCGTATGAGCAAGTGACCACTGAGGCTGCTATTTTTTGCCACTGCTTTTGCGATAAAATATCACCGGATTAGATTAAAAGATTCATATGGAGCACAAAACAAGTCGGAAGAAAGGGATTTTGTGCCATTTTTGACGATCTCAATAAACACTTTTAAATACTTTTCGTCAAGTGAAGTCAAATTATGTCAACAGCTCACTTTATTCGACCATTATGTACAGGTTTTCAGCTTCAAAAGAAACAACTATACCCCGGGATGATTTCGCTGCATCTCCCTACGGTGTATAGCACCGAGTAGAAAATGCTTATGCAGTGCTTTGGTATTTTATTTAATCCCACTGCCATACTCAAATATCACATAGAAATTGCGCTATTTGCATTATGCATTATGTTCAGGTCTTTGATACAAACAGTACAACATTGTGTCATAGTTTCTTTCATTATGAAATCGATCTCAAAATAAGCTTGTTTCAAACTTTTCAGTGAAATAAACGTTATCATCAGAGCTCTGGCGTACTTACACCTTAGTCGTACGATGTTCTCCAAAATACAATGATGATAAAGAAGGGGAATAAGAAATGAAAGTGCGGCAGGAATTAGATGGAATCTGGTTCCAATTAATTTGGTAATTGTTCCCTGCAAACTATTAAACGAGAAAGATGAAGCATCACATAATCGTGAAGAGTGGTGATGTGAGTATAAAAATACTTCAATTCATCGCGGGTCTTCTCAACAAACTATACCGCAAAAAAGATGTAATGTGACTTTAGCAGTCCAAAAGCTCTTATAGAGCGAGACACAAAACGGGAGCACGATAGACCGGAACCACTATTTGTGAATTCTCACGAATAATACAGCAGAATAGTATTTATTTGATGAATCTCGTGCTCACGGTGGATGTCATTCATTTTGAGGGTGTTTTTCAATTTAAGACTGGTTCATTTTGAGTCCCGACAGGGATATAAACATGGTGAAGAATGCTGCTCATAAGTCGCAATACGAGAGAAACAGCTGTCTATCACCATTTGTCACGCACCGAGAATAAAAGTAGAACACAAGCTTTTGTTAGCACCATAAATTTGTCATATACTTTCGGCTTCATAAAAATACGCAATAGGTATTACATTTAGTTATGATTGATCTTTATGGAAGAACTAACCATACCGATATAAAAATTTGTATAGAGAGTAGACTATTTTGAATGAATTTAGAATTTAAAGCGTGTTGTATTGTTTTAGCGAGCTCAACCAATTCGCCTTTTTCTGGAATATCTCGAAGAACCGTACGAAGAGAAACGTTATGGTCAGGGTGATGTGGCCGAATGGCAAGCGGAGAAGACCTCCATAAACTTGGATTTTCCAAACGTGAGTTAACTGCACCCGCCCTTCATGGGGAAAATATCATTTTTCTTCTTCAGCTTCCTTATTACATCGATGGCGATTTTTGTATTACTCAGTCCATGGCAATTATCAGGTATCTGGCCGATAAGCACAATCTCTGTGAGTCTTACCCGTTTGTATTTATAATCAATTCCCAATAGTGGGTAACGACCCAAAGGAGCGTGCCTATATAACTATGCTGGAAGGTGCAGTGAATGATTTACGGTCGGCAATTGCAACAATGGCCTACAGTGCTCAGATGGAAAAAGAGAAAGCTAGTCTGGTCGAAAAAATGCCCGACTGTCTGAAGAAATTCGAAAAGTATTTGGAATCGAAACCATTCCTAATGGGAGACAAAGTAAGCTAAAACTAGTCAAGTGTTGTCTGATCTTACGAGTAAACGGAGTGAAAGACCTAGTGGGTAAAGGTAACAAGAATCTTTACCTAAATAATTTAATCTTGTATGCCGTTTACGCTTAAACCACAAAAAAAACATTTATTTTTCGATAGAAACAATACCATTCAGATTTGAGGATACTTTTACCAGCCTTTTGAAACTGTTCCTAATTTTACCTTGGTAATCTTACAAGAGAAAATCTGAAAGCAGAAATTTTGAGCGAGATTGCGTGTTTCGGGTTCGCTTTGATTATTCATCATATTTCAAAACACTTCCCACACATCAGACTTAGTTTTACCCATATTTTTTTCTTTTAGCCACTGCATGTTGACTTCATGTTTTACGAAACACTGGATTGTATCAAGTACGTGGATTCAAAAACACTAGTTGGCTTTCCTATGTTGACGAACTACATGACACGGATAGAGGTGAGTCTGGATATACTGACCGGAACACCAATCCCCACTCCACAAGCACTGAAAATCTCATTTCGATTGATGATAACATATTTGCAAACAAATTGTCACTCGGCAAAACTGATTTGCTTGTGTGTCATTTTCTGCAGCGAAATTCACATACATGTTTACTTGGCGTTGCTACATCCAAGTTAGATATTTCTTCTTACATGAAATTGGGAAGGGTTGCACTTATTCTTTGTTCGGTCTACAAATTCCCGGCAAACGTATGGTGTGCCAGCTTTGAGCATTTGTTTTTGACAGACTGCAATAGATACTCCACATTCAATACGCTCGAGGAATGTAGGCTTCAACAATCAATACACGGTGTTTTGTACGGTAATAAAATGTTTGTCTCATCCAGGCGAGAAACAGTTGAAATTTTGATGACTAATTGAGCTTTGTGGGCATCGCCAACGTAACTCACATTTGTTCTCTTTTTATTTCCGTGTCTAGAATTTGCCCCGCATCAAAGCATATATGGAATCGGATCGATTCGTCAAATGGCCACTGCATGCCTGGTTTGCTGCATTTGGTGGTGGGACCAAGCCTCCCCTAAGTTAACCTTGTGTCTGCAAACTGCATTAGATCCCCCCGCTAATTTGTATTTATTCTGATTGATCAATGTAAAATATACTTGGGAATTTATTCTCCCGATTACTAACTGATGTTATCTAACTGATCTATTTCCTCCCGTAAAATGGACTCGGTAATCCAAACAATAATTCATTAGACACATTCGAATGTGATTCGCCGTTCAAACAGTAAAGAAAATGAATAAATGAAGGGTGGGGTCTAATGAACAATCACTTTGCAAGCATTTGATACGTTGGTAATCTGCTTCAAACAGTTACAGTCAAACAATGTGTCACGCTAGACTATCGTCATTGGTGCTCCTCATAGATCATGAACAAAAGGGTTTGGTGCACGCCAAAACAGAAAGCCCTAAAATATTACTGATCGATAAACTCAGTCACCTATGGGTAAATTTTAACCCACACGAAAACAGGAGAATTCACTTTACGTTCATATAACTCAAACAATCGTTTTTTAACCTCCCAGATGTAATCTATACCACCCGCCTGTTCTCAGTGTGCCTTCAAAATTGTGGTGTGTATTCATAATTGGTTTGAATTATTCATGCCATCTAACGATACTGCGCCGAAAATTACATCGGACGAAAGGATTGTGAAATCTGCGTTTCCTTCGGTTAACAAACTTGATCATTTTCTACAACCACTTAAGGGAATATTTGAAATAGGACGTCTTTGAATTGATGGGAATTCATCATAGTTTGATTCCCATTACCCTGTATTTTCACGCAACGATTTTAGTTGTAGTCTTCCGGCTGTTAACTTTGTCGATACAAAACAAGGGAAACAGTGGAAAAGTCAAAAGCAGAGTCAACATAAAGACGAAGATGTAAAATAAACCAAATTTGCCTAGAACTTAAGTATACACGGAAGCTGCGCTGTTTTCAGCGTTTTGTCCGATCATAGCACCTGGGATCTTCATCTGTCGCTTACGTTGCTCGTACAGCCTTCAATCCGGAACACTGACATGACCAACACGGTACTAAGTTTCCGTGTACTGTTTCCTTTTCAAGTAGTAGTATGATCATCATTAGCTTTCTTCTGGCATAAAAAACCATCGTGCACCGAGAAAAATTTTCCTGTGTAATTAGAACAGTATAATCCAGTCGTTGCACTTATGGTGGTCGCGTACTTGAGCCAATGTGCGCCTAATATCGGCATTGCTTGTCCGGATTTTCCAAATATATTTTGAGCACTGCGTCCTAGACATCGGTATTCGAACAACTATTGGTCGTGCCTCTCCTCTTCCTCCTGTAATGGGTCATTCTTTACACTGTATTGGCGCAACAGCCAAATCGCTTCCCCATACACACTTCACTCCGTACGGTAGCATGCCACGAGGGCGTCAAATGCGTCTGAAGTTGGCATACGCAGATGGTATGCACGACCGCACTTCTTTTGAGATTTGTTTCTCAAGAGAGATGTAGCTACTACTACTACTACTATTACTACTACTACCACTACTACTACTTTTCGTACGATGTCCCAGCTGGAGAGAAAAATTGAGTGACTGCATTGTACAACTGTTCATCGGACTGGCACGATGAGAGTGAAGCTATATGATCAAACATTTGATTGTGATAAACATGAACAAGTGACAGAGATAAAATTGATGGAGGATGCAGCTGGATGAGTACCCAAAAATATATCTGGAATGTTGTGGCTTCCGGATTCGCGGAGCGTAGGCTGTGGGTTTTCCGCATTCGATTATGATACACAAAAGTAAAGTCGAAATTCTTGATCCAGAGGATCCGTGGTTTGATGATCTGAGCTGGACTTTGAAACCTGAAGAGAAATAGAACACAGGTAAAATAAGGCTGATGTTGTGTATTATGTTGATACATTTCCACACACGTCTGAATCCAGACTGTGTCAAACAAATAACGATACAATAATCTCTACGAATAAGAAAAACGTTCCATGGTTTGTATGTGGGAGGAATACTGACAGGTTGCCCAGGCCAAGGCAGTTAAGTTCTCTTGAGGAATCTACAACCGGAGACTTTGGCTATTCAAGACCTGACCTGCAAGGCAGCGGGGCGATGTGTGGAAACCGTAATTCATTGGGGTCCGGTGTCCAGTTCATCGGATCATACGCCCTTTGGACGGGGTCAAACGTCCAAGGTGCCCAATACACCTAGATGCCCCATCGGGCCGGTGACCACGGCCACAACCGGGAAGTTGTGTGTGGGTCGTATGCCTCCTCTTAGTTGGTTTGAAACCAGGGTTTTTGACCAACTCCCCTAGGTGAACTACCAGTGGCCCACCAACCCGGTTATAGATCCTGATGTCGGCTTTTCATCCTCTCACGTTAGTGGGAAACACCTCCGCCACGAGAAGACAGTGAGTAGGGCATCCTCAACAGTCTATTTGAGGCGTTTGGTCTAATGGGAGCATTTCGCGAGGTGTAAGAGAAGGATGAGCAGCCGCAACCCTAGACACCCACTCCCGACCATACTGAGGCTTTTGGAGGCTCTGGTATTGTGTCCTGCACTGCAATATTGTCGAACACCAGGATCACTGAGAAACGTACTAATCTCCCCTCCAGGTTGACGTAAGCTGCGGGGAAAATCAAATCATTTTGTCGCGGAAATATGGATTAATAACTGCTAACGCACAAGGATGGCCTACTACTCTAAAAATCAATCTTTTCGGACTGATGTAACGAGTGTTGTTGTATGGTTGAAATGCCAGTTCACTTTAGGCTGCAAACACCATCCCTGTACAGGGCGGTGGTGGCCAGGTGGTATGGTCACAGAACTGTGACCCGGACATCCTGGGTTCGAACCGCTCCACTGCCGCCCGTCTTCCCGATTTCTGTATTTCCCCAAGTAGGCTTTGTATGGCCACAGCCCCCTTCCTGAAAGTTGATTGTACATTTGTATATCAATAAATGAAAAAGGAAATAAGAAAACGTTTTTTAGCCATGTATGAAATGTTTCTTGAATGTAACATGGTGACCGACTCCTTTACCCAAGTGATTTTAAGGGATTTACAGTGAAACAGCTGTATCAAATGGTCGAAAACCACGAAAAGGGTTGAAGAATTTACGATGGATTAATTTTATCGGAAATTTTATTTGGAAAAAGAGTTTGTAGACAGGAGAAATCAATGAGAGAGATAGAGTGCACCACAGTTTTGCTGGTCATATTAAAGAAGAGGACGGAAATAAAGCCACCCGAGACCAAGGCATAAATGGTTGATAAGAGTGATGGTCAGTTTCAGCTGTAGCCAGGCGGGGTGAGAGACACAACAGAGATAAAAAGGAATCAAGCAGCCATGGATATGTGTGACGAACCTTCCACTTTGGCATACAAAACAGATTTGGCGCGCCAGAAAATTAACAGGAGAACTGGGAGGAGTCACGAGAAAGATCCGCGCGAAAGCATGAGTTTTGGGAACTGAAATGGAAGGAATCCGAATGAAGTTGATTGAAAATAGAAAAAGCGGTTTAGCTGTAGATGAGCATGAGGGAAAATGTGAAAACATGAAATGATAACTGATATTGGAACCCGACGTGGGGCTGCAAATTAACTTGAGGATACAACGGTTGCGATCCGTGTTGTTGGCGGCGGATGGAGAACAGGGATAAGAAAGGAATGTATTTGGTCGCATCAGTAGTGAATGCATAAAAGGGTCAGGGACGGAAATTGGCAGATCGTTGGTGAAAATGTGGAACAGAATGAAGAAAATTACTGAGGTTTAAGTGAAGTTGGCACCCACAGGAAGGGGCTGAGAGAGACCAACGTCAATTCGGTTTTAGATTGTGCGTTCCATTGATCCCTCAAAACACAAGTGACAAGAATAGCCCAAATTGACTGAACTTCACCAGTCGTCCTTAATATCAAACACTTTCAAAGCTTTCAAGACCTGAGACAAACTTGTGTGGGATTCTCCATTTTTGCCCACTGTAGCTGAGCGCTGTTGAGAGAATAAGGCCAACACATTATAGAGGGCATGCTCAAAAGGCATATTAGTGATCGCTCATGAGTTAATCATGTAGGATTTATAAAAGAAGTTAATTTCAATTTTGTTCAAAATGATATAACATTAGATGCCATGATAAACCCGGAAACAATGTTTTGGAATGGAAATGATCACTGAGGTCAGCATGAAATCAGGGAATACTGGACCGAAGAGCAAGATAAAAACTGTGCAATCGAGGTGATAATTCAGAGACCCAAGTTTGGGGAACAATAAGGGAATCTCGTCAGGGAAAGTAATTTAGCGACATGCAGGCTTGTCTGACCTCTTGAGAGAAAGATCAATCAGTCTCACGATATGTGGGCAGAGTTAAAAGAGAGAATTAGGAGTAGTGCTTGGGGAAATCTGGGAAATAATCGATTCTGGTTCCATACTAATTTCAGAAATTGGTGTATCGGGGGAGCTTATTGTGGGGAAAAAGTAAGAGAGACAGAAGTTCTAGGATGTTACTTTTGATAAGAACTCAAATGTTTAACTACCGGATGAAGAGCAGACGAGCTGTTCTACCTTGCAACGAATGCAATGTTCTCTCCGTTCCTGTCATGTTCATGAACATTTGTTTTGAGTTCCAAGAAAACAGCAATGAGATAAAAAGATGGTGAGTTTTCAAAGTGTACACAACAGCTCGAATCACTATGATGATTGTGGTTTGCCGCGTTTTTTTACGGTGGAGGATGACGGATTGTTTGAAACCCGGTCCCAGTGGAATCAGGGGCCGTGTTAGAAGCATCTGACGTGAAGGGGCAATCGTTCTCAGGAGCGGTGACCGCGAAATCCAGAGAAACAACACAACCTGTAGAGTCTTAGCACCAAAATCTGAGCCCATATGTGGAAAAATGGAGCGTGCGAATCAACTGTGATCTGTAAAGTCAAGGAGAGAAAAGTTATGTATATATTAGTGTGTATGTTTATGCAGTGATGAGGTGCAAGGTCAGCACAAGGAAGGTTATCAAGTTGCTTAGGGTTTTCACTACAAATTCCACGTTCC